TTTTACACTTTGGTCTTTGGTGACTGTTTTTTGTGTTTTGTATTATAAGTGTAACAACTACCCTTTACTCATTCACGGCATCTGGGGGTACCTTGATGCAGATGAGCCCCCTGCCTGCAGACCCGCAGAACCATTGGGCCAGGGTTGTGGGGAAGAGGCCATTTTCTTCATCGGCATGGGGACAAGGTGCTTTTCCAGCCCCCCCCCGCCCCCCCGGAAAAGCACCCTACCAATGCCTAGGGCATGTTGTCTAGTATGGTTTAGGTCACATGCCAGGCCAGTGCTCGGATTAAGGGTCTGGTTGGGAATTTTAGTGGGGCCCCACTTTTTTTCCCTTTTTTGGGGCATTAGGGTCCCTCTTAAGATCTCTACCAGACATAAAGGGTCTGGTATGACTTTTGGGGAGAGCACTTTTTATATTGGGGGTCCCCCCTAACATTCCTACCAGACCTAAAGGGTCTGGTATGAATTGGGAGAGGACCCCATGCCGTTTTTTTTTTTTATTCTCTTTGCAGGGAGTATGTCTGCTTCTGCTTTGTCTTTGGCTGTACCGAGTTGAAGCATGTGCGTTCAGCTTGACTGTGTGGTTTGTCTGCTGTACTCATTTCTAACATTTTAAAAGGTTTACTATTGCCACTAAAAATGTATTTATGTCTTTCACTATTCCAGTATTGGTCCTGACAGGAAGTGAGGATACATCTCCCCAAAATAGACATAGACAGCAATTGGAACCTTCATAAGAGTCTAACTTATCCGTGCTCTACGTTGATGAAATAAATAACTTTGGCTGGGGTTTGGCTTATCAGCTACAAAGACATCAAAACTTGAAAGCTGTTATAACCCTTGCCCACTCTGTTGAAAAAAACCCCAAAAAGAACTCCCTGAAATTGACACAGTAATCAAATCCTGACAGGATATATTTATTAACCACAGTATTACAATTATGTCAAGTCAACTGTTTTGAATTTATGACTTTCTGAATCATATTTAATTTCTTTAAAAAGCCTGAAAATATTTATCAGTTATACCAGTAGAAGCAAACCTAGGTGGAAGCAAGTCTAGGGTACCATTAATAAGCAACTATACTTATCTTGCCCCTCACTCCCGCAGGCTTCCTCCTCCCTGTGAGAATGGTCCCCCAAAGCTGCTTCTTTTTGCCACTCCGTCAGTAACAGGCACTCATCATGTATAATGCAGGATCAGCAGTCCTGCATTGTAAGTCAGGACGCTGATGGCTTGACCACCATCCAGCATGTTAGAGGAAAGAGGAGGAAAGCCCCAGCTGCTGGGGGAGCAAGGGAAGCGAGTAAAACTGCATTTTCAATGGTACCATACACAATAATGAGCATTTTACCCTTGCCATGGTGGAGGTGGCTCACTTCAAGGGTAATTAATATTTCCCAGACATTCAGTGTAAAAGTGACATTAAAGTAAATAAAATGTGTCCCTCCCCCCAATGTTAATTAAAGCACTTACCTTAAATGCTGTTTCTTAATCCGATCTTCTTCTTTCCTGTCCTTTTCATCTGTCCCTCCAGCGCTGCTGCGGGTCTCCGATCCAGTGCTGACTCCTCTGTCCTTGCTGGCACTTCCTGTCCCACGGTGTCTGCATGCGGGTGCACGCATCCATAGACTTACCTTGTGTCTCTCCTTGTCTCCCGGCCGAAAGTGTGAACTGCGCATGCGCCCGCCCCAAGATGCTTTGTGGCCGCCCAAGAATTTTCACATTCAGGGGAGCGCGCGGGGGAGACATAGGTAAGTATTGACCTCTTTTAAAGTGTTTTTTTAAAACACTTTTTGCATATACTGGGTCTATTCACGAAGCTGCCGAATGATCTAGCCGTAGCTTCGGGCGATCCTTCGGCTAGCTATCTATTCTCATACGGCTCCGTGTCAGAATAAGGAAAAAAAATGAAAAAGCAGTGTTTCTCTCCTGGGCGGCCAGGAGCGGGAGACTCCCAGAGCGCCCGGAAGAGTTATTTTTTTCCGTTTTTTTTTATGGCAGCAGAACCGCCGGACAATAGAAAACTGTTGGGCGGAGCAAGCTGTCATTGCTAGCTCCGCACAATCGTTTTCTATTTACTTTTTTTGTACTTTTTGTACTATTTTTCTGTTGTGCTCGGTCCCTCTGAGGGACCGAGCAGAAAAGCCAAGCCGAATGCCGCTCGGCTGCATTCGGCTATTCACTCACTGCTGTTCGGCATCTATAAGAATAGGCAGAACAGCAGCGAGTAGCCTGCCGGAGGTTCGGCTGAGTCAAACTCCTTCTGCACTTCGGTCAGCCGAACATGCTGAGCATGTTCGGCCGACCGGAAGCAAGCCGATGTACTGCTGATTTCGGCCGATATACGGCTGAAATCAGCCGTACAAGCCTGAAGTGAATAGCCAAACAGTGTTCAGCTCACTTCACTTGGGGTCGGTTGTTCACTCGGCTTCCCTCGGCAGCTTGGTGAATAGACCCCTGTATCTACTACTGTCTAGCAGTAGATATATGCAAAAAAAACCGGGAGGCTTTAATTATACTTTAAGGACATTTTAGGCCAATTATAAAGATGAGGAATAGCAACTTTATCAACTTTAATGGAATGGGTGACAAACGATCAATTATTTTTTAACAGAAGTCTTCGTTAGGATGCATACACCCTGGACCCAACCTTGCTTGTTAATGATTCACTTTCAGTAGGATAAAACTGCTTGTACATATTGATCTGCTGTACAGTATGTCCTAGTTTGTGTCCTTTAAAAAGTTGTCCTTGTTACTTCTGGAAAACTATTAAATTTTGTTTTAGCTAATAACGCTGCAAAGACTGATGTTGTGTAGTAACCTATGGAGAAACCAATTATAGATTAGTGTTCAGCTGTTTATACTAGGCAGGCTAAAGATTATATGTAACTTGCTACTAGGTATTGCTACACAGCAAGATTCTTTGCACTTAAATACAGCATGGTTGCTAAGGTTAGTAGGCTTACCTTGCAGCAAGGGTTAAATCTGTATGGATTTGTATGCTCTCCCTGTGTTAAGGTGGGTTTTGTCCTACAAATCAAACACGTTAGTAGACAATTGACTGTGCCAAATTGTCCCCGTGTAAGAAAGTATGGTGAGCACACAGTCTAATGGAAAAGAGTCTGATATGACGAAAACATGTGCTCAGTAAGGAACTATGTGATATGTTAGTGCTATATAAATAATAAGAAGAATTTGGATGTAAAGCTAAAAGACAGGAGTGAATTTATTCTACATAATTATAGCCGGGTTGGATTAATCATAAGTATACCCTTAAAAAAAATCAAGGGAATTGATAGTGAGTGGTTTCAGTACCTTGAACCGATGGGCCGCACCCTAGCCTGGTAAATTTTTCCTTATTGTTACTTTACAAAGTTTGCAGCAGGAGGATCAGTGCTCCTTTTCATACATCAAGAGAAGTGAGAATTTGTGGTAGAGCTGGCATCTTATTCTTAACTACCCTTTAAGGCTTGCCCGCAATGCTGTGCTATAGGTGCGTTGGACCTAATCCTAGTTAGAGAACTGTATATATTAGGACTTATATTTAAAGGGATCCTCTCACCTATACCCCCAACCCCACCTGCCATTTGAGTTTTAAAAAAAGGAGACTGAAAGGAGAGTGGCACTGTTTACAGTAGCTATAGCAAAGAAACTTGTGCTAGAACTGAAGTGGCACATACACTATTCCTATCAGAAAGCAGAAAAGGTGACAGAAAAGGGTACGGCATACTCTCCTTTTTTATGATTGTTTTGGTGGTCCACATGGCAACGAATGACCAGGAATATGAACTACTCAGGCAACTCCTGTACCTCCTGCCTAACGTAAATGGAAAGGAAACTTATGTTTGGGTAGTTATACAAGCAGCCTATTAAAACAGAAGGGGAATGTTCTCCATTGGACAGTGCAGGGTTTACTCCAAACTGAGCTTACTTTTATTTTGTATGTAATTCATAAATGCAGATCACAGTGTGGAGCCTGCAGTGTCCCAGGGAAACGTTAATGCATAATCGTGCAAAGAACTCTAGATCGGAAATCTCGATCATATGACTTTTAATGATCACAATTCTTCCTGGCACATTTTTTCCTATCCATAAAAATATAAAGGGCTTTGCCTGTTTCAGAGTTCTGAAGCAAATGGATCATGTAGCAAATATGTGCAACCTTTTACTTCCATTGCATTGTTTTGTTTGCCTTTATGTCAAAATAAAAGTTACTACTGCATTTTAATTCAATTGAATTTTCTTTCTTTCGATCTACAACATACTACTGTTTACTGCTTGTTTCTGTTTTTTTCCATTCCACTGTACTTGAAGAAAATCACATTAAAAAGACAGTGTTCAGTTTCATAATATTTTTTAATTTATCAGTAATTTTCAAGTTTGTGGGATCACATTAAAAAGACAGTGTTCAGTTTCATAATATTTTTTAATTTATCAGTAATTTTCAAGTTTGTGGGATGACTAGCTAAAAAAAAAAACCAATACAAAAATAATTAAAGATTTAAGCTAGCCATACACATCTTGAATTTTCGCTGATCCTTGCTGAATCAACCAGAATGTCAGTGGTGGGTGGCCACATTGGCACTACCCAGCTCAACAAAAGTGGGGGTGGGAAATGTTGGCTGAACAGTGGCTACATCCTATTAGATTTGGGTATTCTGGGCAGCCATAGCAGTGCAGATTCTTCCATCACTGTTGTATAAGGCGTATAGGGTAATCAAGTGATTAAACAAGAGAAATGTACACATGTATGACTAGCCTTATCGAAGACCGAATAAAAACACAAGCATTGTTTCATAAAACGATTAAATATGGATTAAAGGTTATACAAATAATGGTTATATTTGCAGTTTATTACTCTGTTTTATCTTTCTTTCTGTTCTTCATGGCAAAAAAAAACCCATCTGTGTACATGGATATGCTCAACATGAGGCATTGATTGAAAAGCACAATACAAGAGCTCAAAGGCTTTAGAAATACATTATAGAGGAACTTACCAATCTACGAGACATGGGCGTTTTGTCATCTCCAGGAAGGTGCTGCTCCAATGCCAGAACAATGCAATTTGCAATGATAGTAGCAAGGATCATGTATTCAAAAGGAGTAGATAGAGAATTAAGGAAAACCAGCATACATTTTGAACATAAAGACATAATATGAGCATTTTTCATTATACAATATATTATGCGGGGCAGCTTCATCAAGGTTCTTGATGTGCCTCAACAAATGAGATCACATCACAAATTGGTAACAATTGACAGGTCCATATTCACAATATTAGTTTGCAATGAATATGGAAAGAAACGACAAAGAACATGTGAAGAGAGAAGGAATGCACGTGGTTAGCTGGAGATGGAGTTATTCACCTTTTATTCACAGGGAAATCCAAGATAGAGGCAACCATGGCATTGAAACAGTCCTATGCAGAGACCCAAGATGAAAAGATTTTGAGCAGTACAATTCTATCTTCAAGGTTCTAATGCTTAATTATTCCTGTGGGGCAATGATTGGTGTTACCATAGCCTGGGCCCAGGTTTGCTCTAAAGTTTATAATTTTTCATTATATTTATATAACATCAGCATATTCCTTAACACCTTACAATATAAATATATAACAACAAAGTCTAACAGACATATAGACAATAAAAAAGGTAAAGGGGTCCTGACCACATTAGAATGATTAAGCAATAAGAGGTTGTGAAAAATAAATAATTGGCACCTATTTTGTACAATGGACCATTTACGAATGAAGGGTTCATTCAGGGGTTTGGTGAATGGGGGTAAGTGTAGAGGAACACTTTTTTTTAATTACTTGTTGTCAGTGTCAGCCTTGCTGAGAACTACCAGGTGGCAGGGTCTTTAGACTGAAACTAATTTACTGCCATATAGTAAGGTCACACAAACTCTGATTTTCATAAAAAATCTCAGGATCTGAATAAACTAAATTCATTTCTCCCTCATTGTGTGAACTTGAGAAGAGGGATTTACTTCTCAAAGCACTGAATGTAGCAATACATACCCTGTCACCAATGTACATGTAATAGGGGAGAATGATTGATGTACATAGATTTTCTAGCATTGTTGAAATGATCAGCTCAGCCAAAAAAAAGGTCAAATATGTCAGCTCCTAAAAATTACTAAAATAACAGTCTTAGCAAACAGCCAGTCCATATTTTGTCTGGCTACCTCTGGCCTGAGTTACAGTGAATGTGTAAGAAGTAGACACCGCCCATCCCGTCTCCATCCCACAATGCTCTATCCCTATCATCAGCAGGGATGAGGTTAGAGTTTGTAACATGGTGGGTTAATGGAAACTGACAGTGGTCGGCATGGTTGGAATGTCCAATAATGAGAGCTTTGGTATGCACCATTAACCTCAATATAAAAGGTTGGGCTGCCAGTATCTGTCAATGTGTGTGTGTTGGAGGAGTTTAGGGAGAACAGACAATCTGTGCAGGAGCAATTAATTGCTATGCTGTGCTATGTGGTGCTACATTGCACACATTTACTGAGGATTGCACTGTGGTGGATCACATATTCTTGTGTACCCCCTGTGTTCACTGTTTAAAGACCCAAGAATCCTTTTTAGGACTACATTTTTGTGTGTGTCAGCAACAACTGTAGTTGCTTTTTAGCTGCTGTCCCCTCTCCCCTTGCCCTTTTTTTTTCGTCATTGTTTTATTTTTTATATCTTTAATTTCAGTTTTATCCTTTTTTTATTTTGATAGGTTAAAAATGGGTTGGAATTCAGTGTTTCTGGGGAAGTATATTTTATTTTTTTCACATTCTTGTGCGGTAAAGCAGTGAGCACCAAAGCACCACATATTTATCACTCCTATTGCCATAGCTGCCATTAAATTTTGCCAAACCTCTTTATTAAAAACAAAACAAAAACAAAAAAACAACCCATATCTGGGAGGCCTGAAGTTAGGGGCAAAGGTTCTGCAGTGGTGGTAGTAGGGGGCAAGCAAATTCAGCAGGACAAAGCCGTGGTTGGGCCGCATCAGTTAGAGGCAGGGCACGCCTAAGGTACACATAATGCAAACATAATGGTGGTTCTGTACCTGAATCTCACTTTCTAATGTTTGCTTCAGGGTAAATCAAATGTTGTGCCTCAATGTTTGCAACTTGCTCAGGCACTGGAAAGCCACGATGGGGGGGATTCATCAAAACTGGAGCAGACAAAGTCTGGAGCAGACTTGTTCTACAACCAATCAGCTTCTCTGACTCATTTTCAAATCTTGCCTGAGCAAACTGAAGAGAGAGATGCTGATTGGTTGCCATGGGTAACTGTTCCATATTTTGTCTGCTCCAATTGTGATACATTTCCCCCAATGTTTCCCTAGTTGGACTTCAGCTGCAAAATTTCTAATGCTTTTTGATGGGCGTTGTGACTCAACGTATACAGCTTATTCTGGGCTCTGGTTCTATTTTGCAGCTCAAACACATTTCAGGCATAGTCAGATAATACACATTAATTACACACCAAGCTTTTTTTGCTCCATCTTCCCAACATAGCCCCACATTCAGACTTGGTCACCTCCTAACAGCATCAGACCACACACCACTCACAGGTTATTGTTCAAAAACTTGATTCAAACATGTCAGGGGGGAAACTCGATCCTGCTCCTTCCCTCTGACACATTTCAACCCCCTGCTGTAGAGCCATAGGAATATGTTTGTAACAGCTGCTCTTAACGCAATACAGGTATATAAACTATATCAGTACCTATTATATAATTGACTATGCCCTAATGGGCATAGATACAATTTATGAATTTTGTTAGGAGCAGTTGTACAAATGCATTAAGTGCACTATAACTTTACGAGTGGCTTTTGCTATATACATATAAATGTCTATCCTCCTATGCTTTCCATTACTCTTCAATTAAGTCCTAACAGGGGGTGAAATGCCTCAAAGGAAACAACAGGATGGAGCATCTCTACCACATGTTTGAATGAAGTTTTGTAAAAATAGAAGGCAAGCAGTGTGTCCTAATGTTATTGGATCAGACAGTGGCAGTATGGGGAATTATGGGTGTACGATCTCACCTATGGAGTATCCAAGACATATAAGAAGCCAGGGACTGACTCCCAGTGATCAGCCTTAAACCACTCCCAAGTTCCACCTATAAATTAAAAAGCAGTGATGGGTAGATATTCCTTTAAAATAATAAAGATATATCAAATTAGTTTAGGCTCACTACCCATGCTAAATTTTCCATATAACACTTCTTACAAATTTATGTAAACTTCCCATTTCGGAACACGATCCCTTAGTAACCTCAGCATCTGCAGAGAAATATATCTCACAGTAATGACATCTCACTGTGTCAACTTAAGTTGTTGCTATGCCTCATGTATCAAAATCCCTGCAATACAGTATAATAAATTCGGCAATCAGATCTTGAAATGCTTCAACATTTCCACTACTTAAGTGGAACATGGCGAGCGATAAAAAAAAAAGGCCATTTTATGACACAGCAATCTTGCCTCTAAAAGTTTATCTCAATGGTAAATAGATAAAAAATTGCCAGGGCCAGATAAGAATACAGCAGGTTTTTGAGCAGAAGGAATGTGAATTTGTAGAAAAAACTGTTAAAGTGATCCTGTGAGGACAGAAATACAGGAGCTGCTGTTACTGAGTTTTTAAAGTCACAGGTTTAAGGGCTGTCAGGCTGATCCTTACTGTACTACCTAGTAGGTCACTGTAACAGGTAGGTGACACTGTAGTAGGTCACCTATAAGAAGAATGCGTCTTGCCATGCATTACTGCAGTGCTCGGCAACTCAGTGTTAGGTATATTATGTTGAACAAATAATGACTACTCAGACCACCTACTAAGCTATATGTGGAGTAGAACTGAAACATTGAATACAAAAATGGCTTTAGCCCCCATTCAAACTTGAGTGTTGGCATCTTTGGTAATTGTTTGCGCGTTTGTGCATGCATTTTTGGCACATTTTCAGGCTTGAGTGTTTATTACGCATTTTTCAGGTGCTCCCATTTAGGCCTTGTTCAGATCTTTTCGATAAAGGAGCTTGTGCGATCCTACATGCGATCTCACATCACATGAGATCACATTTTGCAATGTTAAGGGCACAGTGGTGCCATTATTTCCTAATGGCACTCCAACGCACATAACAATTGCATATGCATTGCATTGCAGTACATCACATAGTAACCTTTTACCATGTGTTGTGGTGCAATGTAATTTAAAAAAAAAAAAAAAGGTGCATGTACTTTGACGGCAACTTAGCTGCGGCAGGAAGCATATTCAAATAAATAGGTTGCCCTCCACAACCACAGCAAGTGCACAATTCAGTGCACCTGTGATGTTACATCGCAGAGATGTAAACGGAGGATAGAGTCTATTGGGGTCAATGTGTGATCATGACCCAAGGAAGCTCTTGCATATCGCTCAGATGTGAACAGGAACAATAGAATAACATAGAAATCTAAGGGGTCTATTCACAAAGCTGCCGAAGGATCTGGCCGTAGCTTCGGCCGATCCTTCGGCTAGCTTTGGCCCCAGGACCCCTTCGGTTCAGTAGAACCGAAGGGGTGCTGTACGGGCTATTCACAATAGCCCGTACAGCTCCCGATCATGGCCGAGCGGCTCAGCCGAGCCGAACGCAAAGCCGCTCGAAGCAAGCCGATGTATGGCTGATTTCAGCCGATTTACGGCGGAAATCAGCCGTACCAGCCTGAAGTGAATAGCCGAACAGTATTCGGCTCACTTCACTTCAGATCGGTCATTCACTCGGCTGCCCTCGGCAGCTTGGTGAATAGACCCCTAAGTGTCGAGCATTGAAAAACACACTTCAAATCGCTCAGGTGTGAATGGTGTATAATTCTTAATGTTTACCTTATATACATACTGGATTTGCTTTCTTTTTTATCCCAAATATAAACATTGTTTAAATATATTATAATATATGTCTGGTATAATATTTAATAACATATGCATCTGAGACATACACAAACGCAGATATAGATTGTAAAATATAATAAATATACTTTGACAACTTATATAGCTGGGGCAATGCACATTTGAAGCATAAAGCAGTTTTTATGGGCATTATGTTGCATTTAGAATGGCT